CCCCCCCTCCTTTCTCTCTTTCTGAGACACAATTTAGATCAGACATAATAGGGGAATTTAAAAAACAGCTCAAGCAATAGAACAAAGCAAACGGGCGAGCTATCGATGATAGTATCGTTCAATGAATCAATAAATGAAGCAACAAACTTAATAATAACATCTAGGGGGGAAAGCAACGAACAAGAATCTCAGACAAACATGGCAACGTAACGCGTGCAGATTATAGATCTACTAATATTAATAAATGTATGGAAGAGAGAGGTGACTGGAGCGGCGAGGGGGTATCCCTGCTGTTTTATTCCTTCACACACACCTAATATAGGTGGCCCGAAATTATACGTTCATATCGTGACACCCGTCACCATGGGCGGTCCAGGTTACTTCTCATGTGTGGCAGACGACAATGCCACAACGGACAGAGCCGCTGTATGTTCCGTGTCTCCCGGTTCCAGGGTACTGGGTGATGGACCAGCTTGAGTGGACACAGGTCTGGCTGGCGACCTACATACACGCCTTTCCGGCGTCGCGGAGGTGGAGCCTCCCAGGGGCGGGGATTCGGAACCTCACCGTATCTCTGTGACGGACAGGGGTGGGCGGGGTCTGCTGGGGTCGAGGCCATAGGGCTGTTCGATAAGGGCCGCTGATGTTGTACGTGCGTGACACACTGCGGGGCAAGGAAGGGTGGCGGCTGGTGGCTGCTTTGTTCTTCTTGTGATGCACCATAGTTCGAACCCTCAACTTTAACGTGGGTAAAGTAATCTGAAGGGAAGAGAAGGGAGAAAGTGGTAGGGTGGGGAGGACGGGTATGCAAAGTTCATTTGCAATAGACCACATTCAAAATTATTTCCAAGACCAAAAATATTGAAAAGGACCTTCAACTTCAAGCGTCTAGCTGAAAGATGTGCACGAGTCAGATATTGTCGAAGACGTCCACACCCTCCACTTTCGAACGTAAAAGACAGGACATGGCATATTTGTACACACATGACAGAGTTAGCTTGGGCCAGGATCTCTTGCATGTGTCCTTGAACAGACAAACCCATTGGCAGAGACAAACAAACAAATACACACAGTGTCTCACACACAGTGTCTCCCCTCTCTCTCTCTCTCTCTCTCTCTCTCTCTCTCTCTCTCTCTCTCTCTCTCTCTCTCTTTG